AATAAAGATCGCTTTATGAATAATGTGTCTATAATTATACACCGGACTGTTTTCGGTCTGGTCGTTTCTTCCTTAAGCTTTTCAACTAATTAACCATGCATAAAACCCAACCCACAGTCCTGCTTTGATCGTTTTAAAAAAGGTTTCCTCAACTTATTTTTCAAGGAAATGTATGGAGATCAGTCCGAAAAATTTGCATGCGGATACTTGTTAAGCGGACAGTGTATTATCCTTCAGTGAGGGTCCCGTGGGGTGTTTTGTAACCTGAGATCAGGCGTCATTTTTTTTCTTTTTTTTGCTTCTGTGGCTCGAGACATAATAAAGGGATAACAGGGAGAGGGCATGATCTCAGGCTAGGTGTTTTGGGGGAAATCAAACTCGAAAGACGAAATCATAGTTTGGGAAATGACACTTCTTGTTTGATCCACAGACATTGTGGGAAGGCTTGGTTTGTGACCCGAAGATAAACAGAGACGGCCGGGCGTGGGAAGTGGACCACTTGACTATACCACAACTACTATTATGACTCCTCGTATAAATACGGTCATCCCATGTCAGTAATGGAAAAAGTGGCTGTTCACATCCATGCCTTGAATAAAGAAGTCGCCAATGATCCGCGAGTTACTGCAACCATCATACCAATGGCTTCGGGCCTTACAATAGCACAAAATTGTGACATTGAAGGGAGGATGTTCCTACGCCTTTACAAAGGAGTGTCCACAATCCTACCTGCACTATTTCTGCCTAAAAGCATACTGTTACTTCCTATTTTTCATTGAATTATCATTGTTATTGAACTCCCGTTTGCTATCTTACTGTCGACCAGTACAAAAGTGCAGTCTTTCTTGTTGTTACGGCTTTGACGGGTAACAATGGTCAATCCGAAAAACAAAGCCCAAACTGGAATTTATTCCTCCCTAACACAGAGAGTGTTTAACGTTTTTGCTTCTCTAATACTTTCATATTCTGTAAATAAATAACACCAACGATGACAATGAAGATGATGGGATATGCAGTCTATTTACTATATAATGTTATATAATACTAGTGATATATACAGTATTTTATTATAAGCAAAATTTATTACAGATTATTGCAGTGAAAAAATTATTATAACAACCGCTATTTAGAATAAAATCACAAAGATATGAACTACGCGAGGAGAAACTAGTAGTTTAAAGGTGTTCTTCTCTTCTTCTCTCTTACCCCATCTCAATATCATTGTTCGGTGTCGGTTTCTTGCATATCAGTAGGCGTTTAAACTCTTGTTGGTAGCTTGAACTACGAAAAGCGTACAAAATTGGGTTAAGACATAACGTTAAGTCAAACAGAAATGTTGATAAGGCTCCAATAACAGAGTCATAATTTTGTTCATTATCTCCCGATGCAACAAGAATGTGGAGAGCTATAGCAGGCCCATAACCGATCAAAAACGCTAAACTCGCTAGGTGAAATGTCAAAACCAGTTTCTTTTTCTCCGAGTTTCCTTCTTCATCATTTTCTGAGCAAATTGTAGCAGTTAAGTAAAGTCCCCTTATCAATGATCCATAGCAGAAAAACATGACTGTCGATTGCATGATGAAAATTGTAAAATACAGAAGTGTATAAATTTTGCTTTCTTCAGTCCCTGTATTGAATGGTTCAACACATAAAGTATGTTTATCGTTCCATTCTGCAAAGAAGAACTGTGGAAAACAAATTACGACACTCGTGGTCCAAATGAAAACGATGGCCTTCTTGACGTTATCCTCGCTTAACCGCAGTTCGGCTCTGAAAGGTTTTAGCAAGGCGTGATATCTTTCTAAAGCGAGAACTGTGAGTGTTATAGAAGAAACCATAATACAAATTTCAACGATGTTAAGTGCCTTGCAAGCGAATGTAGCGAATTTATGACTCACACGTCCAAGTAGATCCTCAGCAAGAAAGATACATAAATACAACAGAATGGTAATGACATCGCTAACGGCCATGTTAGCTAAAAGGTAATTCGTTGGCGTATGCATCTGTCGTGTCTTGTGAACGATTCGGATAACCAATACATTTCCTATAAAACCAATGGCAAAAAATAAAATGGGAAAGTAAGAAAGGAACAGACTTAGGCTATCTTCCATGCTGAAGACCGTTGTTTCCCGCCTAGTTTTAAGTCTGACTCAATAGAAATTCGAATTTAAGATGTCTTCTTTTAGAATAAACTGTTCGGGTAGTTCATTCGATGTGACACTAAGTAGTTAATTCAAAGCTGTGAAATAAAGACAAGCCATTTTTGACAAGGTATACCACCTGCATAATAATTATATGTCAGTCATATTTTAACTATCAAGTGACTGATAAGTAAGGCTTATCGGCCTTCAGCTCGTGGTTATGTGATTTATTCCCCTCGTGCGTTCGCCCGAGGGCAACGCACGAGGGGAATAAATCACATAACCCCTCGCTTCAGGCCGATAACCCTTACATAATCTCCTCGCATTTTAATTAGCTGTTCATTAGCCCCGCTCTGCCCTTTAAACAATCAAAGCCACATCAAGCTTTTCAGACAGTTGATTCTGAGGTTAAGTAATATATTCCCCCCGAAAAGAACAAAGGAATCGCAGCTTATGTAAAATAAGGCCCATTTGCATCACATTTTTTATGAAGGGGCCATATAATAATCACACGTAGTTTATGACTAACTCTAACAGGTGAAAACGGCTCAACAACCTTACTTACCAACAAGCACGCTCGGTTTATCTATAGCTCCTTTGCTAGGAGCAATTTTTGAAGCAGTTATCTCTTGCTTCCTTTCATTTTTTTTTCTACCTTTTCTTTACCGTCCTTCAAGTAATACGAAAACAATTCGCTTTGGTTAACCGGTTTCTTTTTTTGGCTTTAAAACACCTGCTTAAATTGTTTATCTTCCGTTTTAGTTTACAATTTACGCGCCTAAGAAAAAGGAAAAGAAAAAGAAATATTCTTAGAGTGAATTCAATAGTGTAAAATAGACTCAGTCAAAAGTAGTAACGAATTATATATCCTTCAATATATGGCACTGATGTTGGAAATTGAACCTAAAAAAGGAATTAGTTCGTGATCAGAATATACAGCAAAATCATTATCAGCTTCGCGTGGTTAAACACAAGAAGACTATAAGAGCCATTATGGCTAATGTTAAACATCAAAACTCGCGGGTGGTTTAAACAAGTGTTGGACTAATCTTTACTTTGAACAGTTTTGTTGCTATGGCTCAATTCCCCTTAAACTCTCCAAGAAATTTGTCGCGCCAAATTTTTGTCTAAACGATTGTTGTTTTAGATGTGATGTTTCCATATGGCAATTGCAAATCATGATCAAATTTCTTAAAAATGATGTTAAACCTAAAGAATCTATACTTTTCTCACAAATTCAGATCACTTTAGCGTCTTTTGTAAATTTGTTTTTCCGAATTCAGGTCGTTGTCTCAGTGAGGAAAACCCAGGAAGACCGATCCTAGAATGACAGGTCCAAGATGACCACGTACTCAACTTTATACGCATGCCTAAATGATTTAGGCATGCGTATGAAGTTGTCCTGACGTGTAAAGTTTTATCTTAGACATCTTTTCGATTCGTTGTTACCTTGCAAGTTTGTCTGTTAATCCTGAATGGTTGATTACAGCGAAAGCCGTAACCCATCCCCTTTTAAGTACTCTAATAATTGAAAATTCCCGGTCTAAAAAGAGTTCAAATAAACAGTGTCTCAAAAAAAGTTGTTAAGTTTGTTAACTACTAGAATAACGGCCATCTTAGGAGACCACTAAACGTTTGCCTGCGAAACCTTTGTCATTGGAGTATTGTCACTGTACATAAAAGAGGAGGTTTTATTAATCTACTTCTCTCTCGATCTATGAAAGCAGAAGAACCTGTGGTTTTTTATGATCACTGAATGTTTTCTCTGGTTTTCTCCAAACTGCATGGATCGTCCCAGAATGAAGTGCACAAATAAGAACAGGAACAAACAGAAAAATCGGCATCATGATCATTTGAATATGTTATTCAGCATTGTCAAATCCTATTGTTTGTGTTGCTGCGAAGTTCTCGGACCTCAGCTTTTCTCCGACCTCACACTGGGATTATTTCCCCCGCAGACCAATGTCTATTAGGGACTTTAAGATAGGTGACTACGGTCGCCTGGGACGGTTAGATAGATGTCACGTCACGCAAAACACGCGTGACCTTTTACCGTCGTCCTTCTGGGACGGTATGTTTTCGCCGGGTTTCTCGTCGTGAAGACAACGGTGAAACCGATAAGAGTTCATGCATACTTAATGTCACTTTTCTTCTAAAACTGAGTAGGCAATGGGTTAAATATGTGTTAGCTTGTGTTTACATTGATTTACTTATCGGTGAAATGAAAAAAAAGGGAAAATGTCTGAGTTCATTCATAACTTAGCTCGCGGCCGCATGGCGACTGCTTGTTTTCTACCTAGTGTCGTCCACCATGGCAGAGGAAAATTACCGAAAAGAAAGGTAAGGCCCAGTTCAAACGTTAATCTTTTCATGTACCGAATTTAATACCTATTTAGGTCGACCCAAATGGTTCGAGGTTGATTCAGGCGTCGAACTTAAAGTGTAGTCGAACTCGATTCATTTTCAAGATGTTCAATGGTCTAGAATGCTTTAAACAAGTGAAAATAAATTTTAGGAATTTGTGCTTTAGTTTCGGCACATGAGAAGTTCGACGTTTCAACTGGGCCTAAAAGTGATGATTGTAGCAGTCTTTTTTATAACTTAAAACTGTATTTTTATCAAGAAAAGGTTTCTTTATAACTCAAAAAGTGTTGGCTTAGGAAAGGAAAGTTCAAATAAAAACATCGACTACAGTTTGAAAACTAGATAGCTTTAATTTGTACCCTTATTCCTCTGATTGGTATTCGTCGTATAAAATAAGAAACTCTTCTTCAGTAATTGAGCCTTCTGCGAAAGAAATGACAAGCGAGTTTCGCATATGACTTCACCGTCCTCTGTTTTGTTGTCCGATCTTAAATTGAAAAATTTTCGCGGCTTCTTACCGTCATGGCCCCAAGCCGCCCGTATACGCATCCAACCGTCCCAGCCTACCGTGGTGACCTATCTTAAAGTCCCTATTGCCTAATTTCATACCGCGCGGGGGCCTGGCACTACCCGATTTTCCTGGACAATAAATTTTACACAGCAAAGGATCCTCTGTTTAATTCTACCTGCATCTGTAAAGTAAAGGATCATTGGCAAGAACACGGATGTGATTGTGTACGTACCGATCGTAACTTAGGTATGCTGGAGCAAAACTCAAAAGGGCAGTATAGAAGGGCTTACCTGGATTATTCCAGTCGCGGAAAAGAGTTAATATGCCCACGTGAAAGGTACTGAGTGTAGTGAACTTTGTGGCGTTATGTATGTTAAACCCAGTGTTCTTAAATCACAGGCAGGGAGAATAAGGGACTAGTCTAAACTCAGTGCATACTAGCCAAAAGGTAGATGTACGTGACATTCTTGATTGTGATTACAAGGTGATTTCCCAAATTGTAAACATGCTCTTAGACCCAATAAGTTCCAAAACGGGGGCAGCTAAACAAGTGAGCCCTTGTAAGCCGTTGCCATTTGACATTTTATCATTGAATTTATACATGTCTTGAGTAGTGTCTAAATTACTAGAATTGCAACGTCACTGGAAGGTACAAAATCGCACACACAGGGCCTCACAAAGAAGCTGTACACAATTTATCCCTCTAAGAAAAATATTTGTGTATTTGTGTATTGTAACATTGCTCAACGCACGAGGTCTGGTCACAGGAACCGCAGTGTTACCGGACGAGAAATGCCAGTCAAGTAAGACTGAAGTATACTTACCTTTATCTATGTTCAGTGAGATAGCTTAAAGGGGACCATACAAGACAAATCTTGTGGCATTGTAATTGTAAATATCTTATTATCCACTCCCCTCAGGGCTTTTCAGGGATAATTTACAACACTGATTGGGGGACTTTGCCAGACTGCTTAAGGTGCAGTTTACAAGTACTGAAGGAATGAGTGATGATGCCCCCATACATGAGTGTGAAAGTGAGACAGACCACTACACCGGGCACTACGTGCCCTACTCTTTACGAAAAGTGTGTGGGTTCTTTAACGTCCCACAGATTTATTACATGTGCAAGGGCTTGTGAGACGGGGCCTACGGCATTATAATTATTATAATCTTTCAACTTATAATAATAATTATAATAATGGTAATAATATAATAAGTAAAAATAATAAGTCTTTATTGAAGGTTTTAAACAGAAGTTAAAACTTGAAAGGTAACAGTAAGAAAAGTAGGAGTTAAAACTGTCTTTGACTAGAATTGCCCCTATTACTATTTCACAGCCCTACATCCCTCTCTTTAACAACCGGTTGGATCGGTGTTACTCAGTCAAATATATCCAAATCTAAATGCTCTTTTTCACAGCCCTACATCCCTCTCTTTAACAACCGGTTGGATCGGTGTTACTCAATCAAATATGTCCAAATCTAAATGCTCTTTTTCTGTAGCCTGTCAGTTTAAGTCAAGTATTTAGTGTAAGCAGCAACACCCCAAACATGGGTGCAGTAAGGTCAGTCACACTATTTCCATTACATTAATACAATTTGAGGGTATGCATATGATTTAGAGCTCTTTCCATCGGATCATTGAACCAGATATCCCATTTGGTAGGACTGTCCTAAAGTTTCACTCCTAGGAGCTCAGGATATAACACACAGTTAATGTTAACAATTTGTTCAGGAAGAGGAAGGTTGTTCTTCCTCTAATGACAAGTTAATTGGTCTTACTATAAGCTTAATCAAATTTAGCCTCCTAAATAGATGTTCCTTTGACTTGTCACACAATCCTCCTTAATGAAGTTCATAGGGTAGGAATGAGTGATGGTCCCCTAAGAACATCTGCACAAGAGGCTACAACAAATTCTCCTCCACCCAGGCTTCAGTATTTTCCACCTAATCAGAGTTATCAGTAACACTAGGCCCAACGGGTGTACTACATGTATTGTCACCTACATATTTATTCATTAGGAGGTGGGTCATATCATTAACCATGATGGTAAAACGTACAGTCCCTTGAAGGGTGCCCTGGTGCACACTTCGATAGATAGACAGGAAAAGAGTACTGACTTCTTCAATGTCTTATAAAATAGCAGTTTAAAATACAGTTGTCCCTCTCCTTTGCATGACAAGGAAAGTTTTCAAAATCTTATTTGCTTTGTAGTGAGCAGAATCAGGTTAAAAAATTATAAGATGTAAGACTTAGGGCCAGTTATTTAAACGGAGTCTAGCCAGTGTTTAACAAAACCGCGTTCTAAGTCATTTTCAGTTTTCAGTCTCCTAACTTCGCCCTCTTCTTCCTAGGTTATATTCCCATAGCATACCTCTGAGCTGATAATTGAACTGCTGTACGTGGGGGTTCTTGTGGAATTGGTATAATATATCTTTGATGTGCTAGGCTCTCTCAATTTCGGTCAACCCTTCTGCCTTACAAAACAACGTTAGCATCTGCTTTGTCTATACGTAACTTTAGTAGGTTCAATAAACTGTGACTTTGGAATAAGACTTACAATGTAAGGAATTGAATGTTTACTTAAGTGAAATTCATATTGTGTTCTATACAGTAGTCTACAACGCCCCCCCCCTTACTTTTTGTACCAGTACGTTCTTTCATGTTTTAAATAGTCCCTCTAGAAAAGTCACTTCCCTTCAACGGCCACTTGAATTTGTTCTCAAGGTGGCTGTCGAGGAAAGCAAGATGTATTTTGTTTAGGAGCTAGGGTACTTTACGTATGCAAAGGAGTGTAAATGAAAACAACTGGGAAATATTTTTCTGATTCTTTTATTGTATTTCTAAACATTGACCAAAAATAATTAGCATATCCTGCTCTTCTTCCAATGATTCTCGCCACTTTATATTCCCCCCTGGGTGTCGCAAAAAAGACAGCGGGTTTTCTTTCTCGGTGCAGATCACAATGACGATAGTCAATCGATTTTCGTTCACTGAGTTCATGAAGGAAACCGCGACGGTTGTTAATTTTTCATTGTTAATGTCCTTTGTTCTTCGTCGCTTTTAATTTTGTCTAATGTTTGCCTCTTCATCACTACGTCTTGATTATTCTTTAACTCTCTTCGACGTATTTGACAAGACCGAAGCTGCAAATAAGAAGTTAAAGAATTCTGTTAATTACAACATCGTAAAGCTCAGCCTGAAAGCTCCATATTTCAGAACTGGAAGCAGTTACTAACATAAGTGTTTGCCAGGTTTTTGGTTTTATACCTTGACCAAGGTGCAGTTTGGAGTCTCTTAATGAAATCAAGCTCAAAGCCAGTCACCGTAGTTCTTTTGAAGGTATCAGTTTACGGTCTTCCAGGCGGACCAAAGGTTGCCTGCATTCATGAGCAAGAGAACGTGTAAAGAAGGACACAGCCTTAGTTGGTTGCCATTCTTGACTGGGGATATTATATAAGATTTTCACTATTTCTTATAATGACTCTTTTCATGTTAAAAAAAATCAGAAAAATAGATCAGTATTCCTCGGAACTATTACGTTAAGTTCTGGATTTCGAAATTCCCACATTAATCTTCAGTCTCCCTTAAAATGAACATCTAAACCTGATAAAAAGATTGTGCTCAACAGAACGCGACAAGTTTGCGATACAATTAGAATTTCTACAATTATTATCGTTGAGTTATTTTTTTCCAACTCATTGACCTGTTTTTCCTAAACGTTTTTATAACTGTAAGAAATTACTAACCTTTTGAACGGATCTCCAACGTCCGACTCGATTGGGAAAAAAACATTTGCTGGGACAAAATATACCAGTCAAAAGTACAACGACAAAAAACAAACAATAAATCTTGTCATTCATCCTGTTTGACTACCTGGAATAGGAACATATTTTAATTTCAGTTACTTTAGGGAACGATAGGGTACGAAGGAAAAGAAGAGAAACTGGACTTAAGGAGAGTGTCATTCGACATTTAAGGGACAACCATACTATTTATAATTTGCGGTTTATGTTTATGGGTAAAGCTTCTAAGTAGACCGTTGCATTTTATTATTATTTTTTTTGACATTTCTAAAAGGTTCATTGTCACTGAAAAAAGTGCATGACTTCATACTCTCTTTATTCATTTCAGGATTTCTGAATGAAAAGTGTAAAAAATGGAGGAGGCAGATTCGAATACCACGTTAATAAGAATAAATGTTGAAATTCACGTGAATAATAGCTTCTGCTGATACAAACCCCATTGGGGTTTTCAGAGCTGTTCAAAAACCGGAGGTCAATGATAGACCGCTCACGCCTCGGCGCCAACGTTTATACAAGCCTTGGTTACCTGTTCTTTTTCGTGTTAATAATAACTAACTCTGATAAAGACAATGGAAATTTTGGGGCTTAAAAACCTGTGAAAAATGTTTCGAAAGGAAGATAAGAAACGTTTACCGTAAATGATCTAATAAATGACCACTCTCAAATAAACGCGTCTTATACTAAAATGTTGCTCCCTTTGAGAATTACTCTAGAATACTAAGGAATAGCAAAAAGAGGCAAAATCATTCAATTTATTCATTTTCTTGCTTGAGTAACAAGGGTTTGGGTATTGTGTATTGTCCAATGCCAAGTTCAAAGTAATAGACTAATGACGACAACACAGCAGTGACTAGTTAACGAGGATTCTGAAAAGGAAGTTGAGATTTGAAAGAACGATGTGGACCTCCAGACGGTCCAGACGTGTGAAATGTAGTGATATTTTCGCTTAAAGAATGTTCGTTTTGTAGAGAATGTTACAAAAATGAATTTTAACGCCTTCCTCTTTTAAACGCCTCCTATCTATTAAATGCTCCCTCTTGGGTCCCTAAAACTAAATACACGCCCCAGGCGTCAATTAGATCATTTACGGTACGTCCCCCATTTTACAGAAAACGTTAAGGCTGTTAACATGGAGGGAGGAAGATCCTAGCTCCAGGAACAGCGTAGAAGGCGGGTCATCCTAAAAAAAATGGTGGCGGGTCGTTCAGCGGCTGGTTACGGCAATAAAGGCCGACCATTTCCTTTGGCGTTACCAACAGCTGATTATTTGAGAGAATTTACCCTAAATTTTAGACGATTAATTACTTCGAGTCGTTTTTACTGCCTCAGTTACGGAGGGAGTAAAACCGACTCGAAGTAATCGTCTGAAATTCAGGCTAGTGATAATTCTGCTGAAAAGTGGTTATTAACGCCAGTAAAGAGAGCAGAACGACCCAAATTTCATTTTTGTTTTGTCTAGCGGTGACAATTAAAATTCCTTCACTACTCCTTCTCTACTTAAATCAATCAATTTATTCAAGGTCATTGCGTGCGATTGAGGTCATGAAACGCATGACAAAAAATAAAATTAAAAAGTGAAATGAGATTAAAAAAAGTAACTGACGGTAATAATTACAATATTAAGAATTACTAAGTACTTACATACATGAGAATACTAAAATTGTAAGAAATCTAGCTAGAATCAAAACTTTATGATCGACAGTAACTACAAAAACAGCTATTTCCTAGAATTTTAATTTTGAATGTTCCATAGATGAACGACCGTATAAGAAAAATAATTATGATAGTACAGATTGGTATGGGAGGGCAGAACAAGATTGCAACCTCCTTCCCTTAATAAGTTATAATGTGAGACATGGAACGCAAAGAAATTAGAAATGTAGCTGGGCCCATTTATATAATAATGAAAGTGATTACTCATATCTTCTAAATCTCAAATAGTTCGATTCATTCCTGCTATGGACAATAACACAGACCGAAATTTGTGCGTGTAAACCCAAAGAAAAGTTGTCCCGTCTTTTAGGATCTTTCTGTTACTGCTGTAGGATCTTCCTTAGGGACGGACCATTAGAAAAACTTATGGGGTGTGGCGGGCGAAGTACAAAAAAAATACTCGCGCAAGGGAAAATTAAATGAAAAAAAATTCATGCACGCCAATTAATCCTAAAAAATATTCATGCTATGGCCGAAAAAAAAAAAATCCTCCAAGGAATTTGATAACGAAAAAAAATTCTTGCGGCTCGAAAATTCCCCTCCCCCTGCCATAACTTTTCTAAAGGTCCGTCCCTTACCAGCAGGTGGGGCCGCTGGTAGATTAAAACCTAACCAGAAAAAAGGCGCGAAAATAAAAGGCGCGAAATTTTCACGCCTGCCACGATATCTCTTCATTCTGAGTATAGATGAATGAGGATGAATGAGGAGGTTCAAAGTTTATATTAAATCAGCTTGACATGTCTGACATGATATTGGCATTTTCCTATAAAAATGGGCTCTGGAATTATGAAACAGAGTTTTGATTCCAGATAATAAGATTTCTTTTGTTCTTTTTTAGCGACTGGAACGGAATAATCTCACTGCGGCAGCAACAGTTAGATGGAGACCGGCAGACAAGTTTGGAAACAGAAGCTGTCGATTGAACTTGAAAGTGATGTTTTCAGTTTTTGGAAAGTTAGGCGCTTACACAAAGCTAAAAGACTTAAGGTAAGGTTTTGAAATGTTTATTCAGTTGTGTCTTGTTGTTTTTTACATACCCTGTCGTTCTATCGCTGCTTGGTTTGCTAGATGCATTTTATATTTTTAATTTGTTTTTCTCGTCAAATTCTAAGCCGACGTAATAGAAATGTTAGAGGAAACTATAAGCTTAAAACTTGAGTGGTGAAGATTGTTTCACTTAGTTTTTTCTTCGTGCTGCGTTTGGAGAAGAAACCTCTCAGCATCTATTCAACTCCGCAATTGTCAAACTTTTCCGGTACTAAAAGCCCTTCATTAATTTGCAACACGGCGAACGAGATACTCGGAAGACTAATAAACGTAAAGGACCTTTTAAAACGTTGCTTCATATAAACAGGATGTGTGTAATAGAATATTCTATCGTCTAGTTTTTAAGAAGTACATTAAATAGTTATTTTACTAGTAATTTGTAGAGGTCAAACAAATGTGTGAAAGTGGATTTAAATGCAACTTCACCTTTCGTAGCAAACGTAAAGGGCAGTAATTTCGGCTAGTGTTAACATTCAGTCATGTTAATTTATAGTACACACTAGAAAAACGCAGGAGTTGAACTTAAAAGTTTAAAGTAAAATTAGGGAAACTTTTCTGTCTAAGAAGCCCGTTTGCAAAGACGATGTTTCGACCCTGCTCCAATTTATGATGCGATTTATCGACGATTTTATGCGCAAGAATCACCAAAATCCCAGCATATTTAGAGGAGCAATTTTTATAGTCCGTTTTCTTTCAATTCACATATTATCAGTATTTAATTGTTTTTTCTTGTATAGCGATACTGTAAACATTTAACACAATGTTAATGGGTACCGGCCTTCGGTAAACTTGTTTATCTTATAGTGAAATGATTGAACTTCCTTTTTGGCGTAAACTCAGTAACTGAAAGGATTCCGTGGGATTAAGAACAAACCCATTTCTTTTGATTTTAAAAGTTTTGTTAAGACGCGATGTCCTGAAAAAGCTGTACGAACAATGGCCACCATCACTCTATTTTCACAGCTTTACCCAGTGCTGTCAGACAGACTTTTTGTCTTAACCTTCAAAATGGACATTCTTTGAACACGCGAAACGATCTGCTTGATTAGCATAAAGTAATTATTAAAGAAACCGCAAAACTGCAACTAGATCTCGCCCCTTTTGATAGAAGTAAAAGGGCGAGTGAGACCCCGCAGTTTTGTCCTCACCAGTCAGAACACCTTTATTACCGATAAACATAATTTTCTTTTCAGTTGTTAAAAAAGTAACCCTCCTGGGTATTATTACCACAATATGGGCCTTTGTGTCTCAAAAACCCCGCCGTCATCTTTTACATATATACCTGTTTCTCTGAAGCTGTTTAACATCTATTCACTGGGGTTTTCTAAACCTTCCCGCCGAAGATTTTGCTCAGTCAATGAGGGTTCATTTCAAGAATATTCCATATTAAAAAGAAAAACCCCTTTGCTTACCTTGAATGATCTATTGGATTTTTATTCCTGCTTGTCAGGGAAAAAGGCCAACAGATCAAATGAATATTGTTGTTGCCGGCTGAAGAAAACTGATTGCTTGTGTGGCCGTTATTTTTATAGGTTTATGTGTTATGCTACCTGAAAGTATGGCTTCTTAAAACCTTAGGACAGTTTTAGATAGCTCTGTGAAGTAGTTTGTGCCAAGAACCTCGGGCATACACATCTTTTTAGACATGCGCTTTCCATTCTTTCGATCCGCCTCCGTTTCCACGTTTTCTGATTCCGCGCAGACTTCACTTCTTCCTTTCCTCATTGTTGTATCTAAATTATCTCAACATCGTTCGCTTCTCGTTTCCGGTTCCGGTAGTAGGCCCCAGTCTGGACGCAAATAACTCGCGCCAAAATGACATCACTTGATGCGATTTTCTACACCGAAAAAACATAAAGCTTTGCGCTCGAGAAGAATTTTGAGCTCGACCTTTGGGCAAGTCTATGCTGTATCCTGCCATAGGGAGTGGGATAGACGAAAAAGGTCAATTTTCAAACAGATAGACAGCCATTTTAAAAACGTAACGCAGGTTTTAAACTATTTTAAGAAAAAAAACTTTATTTACATCCTTATTCTCTCGTCTGATCACTGCATTCAATGAACACTAATTTCACAAACTTTGTGAAATTAGTGTTCATTTTATCTGCATATTGAAGACATATAGAAAAGTCATGTAAAGAGGCCAATTTAAAAACCAGACATCTACAACTTTGGGGGTACAGTAAATGTTTTCTTGCAAACCCTGTGACGTTTTTTTATGAAACGGAGAGGTGATATAGCTTAAAGAAGCTAGTTCTCAAAGTAGTTTGCGACAGAAGTGTCTTTCACAAACAAAAGTTTACCAAGTCGTTCACCTCTTTTCAATGTGTAAGTTAAAACCTAAGGAATTTTATTGAATTAAACGATAAGTGGTAGGCCCTACCCCAACGGTTTATAGTGTGGTTCAAACTTTGAAAGTCAACTAGTGACCTGGAGCAAATTACACTATAACTTAAGGAGGGACTATAGGATTTTCTTCTCCATTTCTTCTCTAGTCTTGTTTTTTTTTGCTCTATTTGCATTATTGAATTCTTGTGTTCGTTTTTGTAAATTGCGAAAACAAGAAAACGGATTCATTCGTTATTCTATATAACTTGCCACAGAAAGCTCTACAATACAAGTGCCAGTAGCATTGGAATTGCAGTCTCACCATTTCTCGAATACTCTCCTTGTTAACCCCAAAAAGGAATCTGCGTAGCTATTATGACAAGTTCACTCTTTAGAAGACATCGACTGCTATTTGAGCAATTAGTATCTCCACTGAAAAGTTGCATTCATTTGCTTCTATGGGTAGAAAGTCTTTATCATCCTCTCTCGATAGTACATAGAAGCAATATCATCGTTAATACGACGGTTGATATTTTTTGGGTCATTTTTGTTTATTTTATTTTCACACCGCAGAACTTTCCAACTTTCGTATCACTCGAATTTCGGCACACTTTAACATGCGTACACACACACAGAGAAAAGGATCGTCTTGGCCTAAGCCCGATAAGGGCGCCCCAAGCTCTTCATTCTTTTCAGTCTAAAATAGTAAAGATATCACAAGAAAACCTCACTCTTTTCCCTCACTGATATTCTTTGAAACATCACATAACCACCATTGTTACTCAATATAGGATCGGAGACGAGCTTGTTCTACGTTAACCTGCTTTAACTGAATGACCAGTCCTGTTGTTGTAGGGCGGTGGAGATGATTTGTCACACTAACTGGAAATCTGTGATAATTAAGTGGAAGGGTCAAGTCAGTTTATAGTTTAACCCCAGTTTTCACTTGTTACGGAATTTTAAGCATGACGATTTAGGCACTTTGTTTCCTCCCATTTTTGAAAAAATGTTAAATAAGCGGTTATTCGAGGAAAGAAGGTGAAAATGAATGACTTGTGTGGTAAAAATTTCCTTATCAAAAGAGCAGTCAACAGCTGAAAAATAATCAAATACTTATCGTTTAATATGCAGCATTCATGATATTATTTTCCGCCAATCCTTACGAGGACTGATAAAATTTTCAACTATGTTAAGCCTATATGAAATTTTTAAAAGTAAATAACATTCAACATTTGTATCTCTCAGGTCTTATGAGACTTGCACGATTGTTTCCAGGTTCTCGCCCCTTTTGATAGAAGTAAAAGGGCGAGTGAGACCCCGCACGCCATTTTCATTTTCGCATAAATTATGACCTAAATTTGGAAACCGCTGAATTTCTCGAATTGGGTCTTTGCGATTTTGGTGAAACTCTGTTCAGCGCAAGACACTAATGCGCACTATGTGTAGCCGAGAGATTTTCACGAAAAAATGCCGGCAACAGCATGCAGATTTTCGACTCAGACATCAAAGGGGCGTGGCATTATAACCACGTGACATTTACTCCGATCGCCAAAAATTTTATGTTATATTGTAGATTGATCTATATGTTCTCCATTCTATGTGTTAGACTTACGATAAAAGTAAAGGTGGGGATACCAGAGAGCTTCAAAGTAGGATGGTGCCGCCCCCCCCCCAAAAAAAATGGGTCGAGTCACCTTAATTATTCCGTTAAACTCAGTAGTAGTGCGAAACTTTAACTATGCATACTCATCGCTTATAAGAACATTAAAAATTTCTGGGTGGTAGGGAAAACGCCACTGTGAAATAAATGTCTGGCCAACAGAATGTTGGTGCACTACTTTCTAGCGAGAAAATAATGTAATTTGCACATAAAACCATCGGGTTTAACGATCCCGCAGTTGTCATAATCTTGAAAGAAGGACATGTGCAAATCATGCATGGCTTTCTGAGCCTACGACAGCCAGATTCTTTCCTGTGGAAATCAAGTGATTTGGTAGTCGCACATAGCGAATTTCACACCCTTCGAACCATTTTAATCTTTTGTTCGCAAGTATTGGAGAGCTTGAAGTTATGAATATATGAAAATCATTTATGAGAACTGCAGGGTAAAGAATTACTGATACGAAAGAAGACCATCGCAGTTATAGACGTTACTTTTGCAGTTGCGAAAAGAAAGCCTGAAAAAAAATCCAGGCTTGTACGGGATTCGAACCCTTGACCTCTGCGATACCGGTGCAGCGCTCTACCAATTGAGCTAACAAGCCAACTGGGAGCAGGTCGTTGAATTGGTTCGTTATAAACCCGTGAAAGGATGATGATGAGTGGTAGAGCGCTGCACAGGTATCGCAGAGGTCGAGGGTTCGAATGCCGTACAGTCTTTTCGCAACTGCAAAAGTTGCGTCTATAACTGCGATGATCTTCTTTCATATAACTATTGGAGAGCGTGTTACCTGGAAAAACCATGCCCTAGGGAAAAGATGCAAAAGCAGATGTTACCTGAATCTACTGGTTTATCTGGTGAGTAAGGCCACTCAATTTTAGATAAACTGAACCCAAGGCTTATAACAACAAATTAGCGATTGTTCACAACATAAGAGACATTAATTACAATACAGTGTTGACTCTTAAATAGCAACAGAATCTCGACTATCAGTTTTGCATAACAAGAAGAGTTTCCTAACTACTGTGATTGCTTTATGATGAGCAAAAGGAAATATAATATAGAACTGCACTCCTCCAGTTACCCATGATGTCATCTTCCAGTAGAGGCCTTATAGCAGGGGCACGAAAAATGAAGGAGTTAGGAAAGATCCGCATCAGCACGCTATGGAAACATGTTTGTGTCCCATATTTACCCCGCTTTTTTCTCGTTCCACACTACCTGTTGGCTAACTCTTTCAAAAAGCCCATCCACCTGGTCATGAGCTTCTATGGACCATTTCGCGTTTGGTCCGTGGGGTCCTGATCAAAATTCATGTGAGTCGGTGCTTGTCAAACATTTGTGATGCAAACCTTCCCAGTAATTGGCATTTAAACGTTTGCGTGTGAGGAGAACGGATGTTTTATGAGTCAAATGAGTCAATGAGTCAGATCTGAAAAAATAAAAGTTTCGGTAGAAACAATAAAATTAGAGAACGGATGTTTTATGAGTCAAATGAGTCAATGAGTCACGAGTCAATGCGTCAGATCTGAAAAAATAAAAGTTTCGGTGTATGGAAACAATAAAATTAAGCATTACTTTTACTTAGTTTTTGTCCACTTACTTCATTGCTGCCTGCAAATGCAAGGCGTATTTCTGACATGAAATCTCAACCTGGGCTGTTTGTTAGCAGTATTCCAGGCCCTGCCGCTACTACTACGTGCATGCCCGAAAAAATAGCCTTCCCAGACACCCTTCAAGAACCATTTAAACCATCAGACAATCCATACTACTAGAGGGATACCAGAAGTGAAGTGCTGCCCCCTGTGAAGTGATGCAAGAGTTTTAAAAAGGCGAGCTAATGTAAATAAACACAACATAATGCAAACAATAAATGCCCAAATATTTAATTTTAATCAATCAACAAGCCTATTTAAAATTACAATGGGTATACAGTAATGCCTCAACAATAACACTGACTGTGTACAACTGTTCGACTCGCTGTTTCATACCCCTCCTCGGGTAAAATTACAATAATTTTAATTCAGTTTGTTCGTCTAGTACCATCATTCACCTTTTGAGGCAAGTAAAACTGATTGGAAAAAGTGGTGAACTACATTGGGAAGTTTATCAACTGAAAACAACTCTGCGATTGACTGTTGGAACGGACGATTAGTGTCCTGGATCGTCTTCATTGTGTTCATGATCGACAGCGATCCACAGCATGAAAGGAATACTTCCCGGAATACTTACCTTTACATACAGATATAATAGTGGAACTTTCCTTCGCACTCATGACCGATTTTCTACTTCAAACCGGGCCCAAACATCAACACACCGAATATCAAAGAACGACTGTTCCCAGATTCGAGTCTTTAATTTGAGCGCTAAGAAATTCCATAATAGGTTTATCTCAATTTACTTTAAGCGTTGTGTTCAAAGGGAATTAAACGCTTTCTTCCGAGGCACTCACAAAATTTAGGCTGCTATGCGGCAGGGCCTGCGAACTGCTAACAAACAGCCTAGGTCGAGATTTCATGTCAGAAATAGGCCTTGTACAGGCAGCAATAAAGGAAGTAGACAAAATAAGTAAAAGAAATGCTTAATTTTATTGTTTCTACCGAAACTTTTATTTTTTCAGATCTGCTTCATTGACTCATTGACTCATGACTCATGACTCATTTGACTCATTAATACTTTACACTCGCGTGTGAGGGATATTTTAATAAAAGGTGTTAGTGGTTTCATCAAGACCTCTCTTGGTGCCATACCTTTAATATACCAAACAATATTGACACTATTGTTCAATGTCTTCTCCGCCCACCTCCCCCCTCCCGCCCTAACCCCCTAACACACAGACACCTTTATCCCTGCTTCCTGGACGAAAATTCTGTGATATAAATTAAAAAGGGAATGAAACTGAAGTTTTTAAAACAATTTATTCACATTGCCGTCATGAAATTTGCATTAAATTACATTCTGGTTGATTTATTTAACTAAAACTGGGAAGATTTGGGATAACAGGTACAATAATAATAACGACAAGGAATAACCTACCTAAAAGTCGCTCAACCTCGTAGGATCCTCTACCAACTTCCATCAAGGCGTCAAATTTTACGGAGACGTCTGGGTACGAGTCAGAACACTCCGATTCCCGCTGTCGCCATCTTCCAACGAGTCTTTACGCGGAAGTTAAGCTATGTCTCTGAATCTTGCAGCTGCTTACGCTACTAGGTCCCGCGGACCACACAGTCAAGACCATGGAAGATTTTCTCGCCCATGGAAATCAAGTGACCTGATTCTTAAAGTCGCAGACAGGGAGTTTCATGTTCATCGAACCGTTTTAATGTTGTGTTCGCCAGTTTTCGAGGCCATGTTGTCTTTAGAGTTCAAAGAGAAATCTGCCCAGAAAATACCACTTCCGGGCAAAGATGCGACAGAAATAGAGCAGATGCTTCAAGGTATTTATCCTGATCAGGATCTCTGGATTTCAAAGGAAAACTGTCTTTTCCTTTTGAAGCTTTCCACTGAATATCAAATTGATCGATTGAAAACCCGCTGCGAGGAATATTTGAGCCACTGGTGCGAAGATGGCATGAATATAGACGAAGCAATGGAATTGATAATCGTAAGCCAAAGATATTCTGTCGAAGAATGGATAGTGAAACGATGTGTGGATCGGTTTGTGTCGCAGACAGATAAGACATGGGAGCAGTTACAGAAACATAAGCGTTTCTCCGAATTAGAACCTTCAATTGTCAAGCAAATTACAGAGAAAAGAATGGCCTTCTTGGAGCGAAGATCGAATATTGGTTTTTCTTTTGTGCTTGTTTCGAGCAGTAGGAGCTGCCGTAAATATGGACCTGTTAACATGAGGAACAACTTTAGAGTTTAGGCGGATATTCATGGTCCTAAACCTACTGGACCAGACGAATTTTCTCTCCAACGACTAATCTAATTAAAGTATGTTCTTTTTTCCTTTATCTGATTACCATGTTTTATACAGCATTTTACCAGCTGAAGAACAACGAGAGTGGTGTTGATGGCCTGCATAGGAGGGTAAAAGGGAGACGGAACTGGGGATAGAAGGAAGGGGACGGTGACGACGATGGGAACTAATGCCGTCGTGAGGAAGACACTTGGGCAAGAAAATAGTTGAATTTGAAATTTCAGTCATGCAAATCAAAACAACTGGGCTAGATTTTTCTGGTTCTGTTATTGCACTTCGGAACGTTGACCAAAATAGTTATCATGTGTTGCTCTTCTTCCCGAATAATTCAGGTGATACAGACAACATATCCAGCTTTCTTTCTTGGTGCAGATCACAATGACGATAGTCAATCGTTTTTCGTTCACTGAGCTCATGAAGGAAACCGAGACGGTTATTAATTTTTCTTTGTTTAAGTCCTCTGTTCTGCATCACTATTAATTTTAATATGTAATGTTTGCCTCTTTATCAATATATCTTGATTTTTCTTTAACCCTGGAATGGTTTACCCAGTCATGTTAGAGAATCAAACAGTATTGCAACTTTTAAAAGAAATGTTTTAAGCTTCATTAAGGATAACTAGAACTTGTAGGATTTAGATTTTTTTTATTTGTATATATTTTTTTTATATTTTAATTAGTGAGGGCATCCCTAGTATGGCGCATTGGCGCTTTTGGTCGTCTCCTTCTCCACAACGTTTTTTTTTTCTTATAGTAGTGTTAGCTTATTTCATTTCATTATTTGCTTGTAATGTAGTGGAGTGAATCTGTAACAAATAAACTCTCGTTGATTTATTTGCTGGGCCAAAGCTGCAAGTAAGAAGTATAAGAATTCTTTTAATTGACTATCGCAAAGCTCCATGTTTCAATAAGCAGTTACTAACACAAGTGTTTGCCGGGTGTTCTAGACTTCTGTATTGACCAAAGTGCAATTCGGAGTCTCTTATTAATGAAATCACGTTTTAAGGCTATTCACTGTAGTGCTGTTCATGCATTATGTCTTACAGGCGAAGCACAGACCGCCATTCATAAGCAAGAGAATGTCTAAAGAAGGGCACAGCCTAAATTGGTTGCTATTTTTGGGATATTTTCGCTATTTTCTATAATGATCTTTTTTGATGTTAAAAAAAGTTGGTTGTTCTATACAGAAAAATAGATCAGTGTCCTGCGAAAGTATTATGTTCTGGATTCCGAAATTTCTACATTGATCATCAATTGCCCTTACTTAAAACTTAAATCATTGGGTAAATTGGTCCACTTACAATTCTAGATGGGTGTCAGGGAGGTGGAGATTGTCACTGCCGAAAATCTCCTTTACCACTAACCCGGGCAGCTCATCGGGACGAGACATTGTCGGGCGAAATCCCTGCAGGCAAAGCCTGAAGGAAGAACGGGCAGACACCCTAGTCACTTAAGCTTACCAAGCCATTTTTTTTAGAAGCATTTGAATTCCCTGCATTGATCGGCCAAAATTTTTCTTTCGTTCTCCTTGTGAACTTTGCCTCAGTGCGGCGAGGATATCCCGTCCCGATTAGTTTTGTGCGTGCTTCACCCCCATGCTACTTTCCTACGTTCATCCAATTCTAGATGGGTGTCAGGAAGGTGGAGATTGTCACTCCAGAAAATCTCCTTTACCACTAACCCGAGCAGCTCATCGGGACGAGATATTGTCGAGCGAAATCCCTGCAGGCAAAGCCTGTAGGAAGAACGGGCAGACACCCTAGTCACTTAAGCTAACCAAGCCATTTATTTTAGAAGCATTTGAATTCCCTGCATTGATCGGCCAAAATGTTTCTTTCGTTCTCCTTGTAAACTTTGCCTCAGTGCGGTGAGGATATCCCGTCCCGATTAGTTTTGTGCATGCTTCACCCCCGGGCTACTTTCCTATGTCCCTTTCATGGTAGCTCTTCCCTACCATTCACTATATTTTTTCCGTGCCCAATGTTACACATCACCACATGCTCAATATTTCATTTCTCCATCTTCCAGCAATGTCACAATACTCTCCCTGACCACAGTCAGTCCAAGCTCTCAGAAGTTTTAGGGCAGTACATAAATTAGACTGTTACGTTATAAATGACGAGGACATTGCAAAATTTTAGAAGTGGAGAGCCGAGTGGCAAACGTACTTTTTTGCCATTTTTGTTCTTGTTGCTATTTCTGAGTATCTCTTGCTGGCTTAAGGCGTTTTATTTGAGATATTTTTTGGTTGGCCGCACGTTTGGGGGTGCTCAGTATTTCTCATGCTGAGTTCTATGTTTCTAACTTGAGACCAGCTTTTCTTATATGTTGTTATAACTGTAATTAATTACTAACCTTTTGAAGGGATCTCCTACGTCCGACTCGACTGGGGAAAAAACATTTGCTCGGACAAAATATACCAGTCAGAAGTACAAGGACAAAAAACAAACAATGAATCTTGTCATTCATCCTGTTTGACTACCTGGAATAGGAACGGGAGTTTTTGATTTCGGTTATTTAAGGAAGATTTATCCTGCGATCAGGCCTAATTTTAGCAGCTTCCATACATTTTCCCTCACGTGGTCGCGCTAAACTTGGGCTCTTTTTTTGTTTCGCCTTTCCCGCCAGAGCTGGAATTTCTGAAACGAAACGAAAAGAGAGCCTGATCTCAAGCTAGATTGGGATACCACTCTATCAAGACCCAATTCCCTTGAGTTAGAATGGCTGAAAAAAAGCTTCCCAGTTCTATTAAATGCATAATTTCTTGGGGATCTCAGAACGTTTCTAGCCAAAAACCACGGCGTGGGTCATTACAGTACGTGCTTCGGCATCAACGTTCATACGAGATTTGGTCACCTGTTCTTTTTCGTGTTCATTATAACTATTTCTAATAAAGAAATTTGTAACTTAAAAACCCTTGAAACATGTTTCGGAAGGAAAATAAGAAACGTATACTTCCCATTTAACTTTGTTTGGCCTTTTCATGACGATGGAGCCGTTGGTAGATTTTGAACGTAAACAAAAAGGCGCCAAAATAAAAGTGCGGGAAATTGTTGCTCCTGCCGCGATGTCAAATCAATTTGGCACGGGATAATTTCTTATAAGATTGGGCTCTGGAATATTAATATGACAAAGAGTTCTGATTCCACATAATAAAATACCTTTTCTTCGTTTTTCTTCTCACTACTGCGGCTACAACGGTTAGATGGACATCACACAAGTTTGAAAACAGCAGATGTCGACCGATTCAACTTGAAAGTTTGAAGCTTTTTTGAAAGTTAGGCGCTGACACAAAACTAAAAGACTTAACGAAGGTAAGATTGTGAAATGTTTATTCAGTTGTGTCTTGTTGTTTTTGTTACATTCCCTGTCGTTATATCGCTGCTTGATTTGCTAGATGTATTTTATATTTTATTTTGTTTTTCTCGTCAAATTCTAAGCCGGCATAATAGAAATTTTTGAAGAGAAACTATAAGCTAAAAACTTGAGTCATGAAGACTGTTTCACTTAGAAAAATTCCTTTTAACTTTCTTCGTGCTGTCTTTTAAGGAGAAGAAACCTCTCCGCGTCTATTAATTCAACTCCGCAATTGTCAACAGCTGTGTCAAGCTTTTCCGGTACTACTGAAAAGCCCGTCATTCATTTGCAACACAGCGAACGAGAGACTCGGAAGGTTAACTAAAACATAAGGGACCTTTAAAACTTTCCTTATATAAACAGGATGTGTGTAATAACAGATTCTACCGTCTAGTTTTTAAGAAGTACATTAATGTTAGGAATCATACATTCGACGTTCCGATGTTTCTATAATTATTTTACTAGTAATTTGTAGATCTAGAGGTCAAACAAATTGAGTGAAAGTGAATTTAAATGCAACTGCACCCTTCGTAGCAAACGTAAAGGGCAGTAACTTCGGCTAGTGTTAACATTCAGTCATATTAATTTATAGTACACACTAGAAAAACGCAGGGCTTGAACTTCACAGTTTAACGTAAAATTAGGGAAACTTTTCTCTGTCTACTAAAGAAGCTCGTTTGCAAAGACGATATTTCGACCCTGCTCGAATTTATGGTGCCAATTATCGACGATTTCCTGCGCAAGTCACCAAAATACCAGCATATTTACTGGAGCAATTTTTATAGTCTGTTTTCTTTCAATTCACATATTATCAGTATTTAGTTGTTTTTTCCTGTATAGCGATACTGTAAACATTTCACACAGTGTTAGAATGGGTACCGGCCTTCGGTAAACTTGTTTATCTTTTAGTGAAATGATTGAACTTCCTTTTTGGCGTAAACTCAGTAACTGAAAGGATTCCGTGGGAACAAACCCATTTCGTTTGATTTCAAAAGTTTTGTTAAGACGCGATGTCCTGAAAAAGCTGTACGAACAATGGCCACCATCACTCTATTTTCACAGCTTTATCCAGTGCTGTCAGACAGACTTTTTGTCTTAACCTTCAAAGTGGACATTCTTTGAACACGCGAAACGATCTGCTTGATTAGCATAAAGTAATTATTAAAGAAACCGCAAAACTGCAACTAGATCTGGCCTTTTTTGATAGAAGTAAAAGGGCGAGTGAGACCCCGCAGTTTTGTCCTCACCAGTCAGAACACCTTTATTACCGATAAACATAATTTTCTTTTCAGTTGTTAAAAAAGCAACCCTCCTGGGTATTATTACCACAATATGGGCCTTTGTGTCTCAAAAACCCCCGCGTCATCTTTTACATATATAACTGTTTCTCTGAAGCTGTCTAACATCTATCCACTGAGGTTTTCTAAACTATCCCGCCGAAAATTTTGCTCAGTTATTGAGGGTTCATTTCAAGAATATTCCATATTAAAAAGAAAAACCCCTTTGCTTACCTTGAATGATCTATTGGATTTTTATTCCTGCTTGTCAGGGAAAAAGATCAACAGATCAAATGAATATTGTTGTTGCCGGCTAAAGAAAACTGATTGCTTGTGTGGCCGTTATTTTTATAGGTTTATGTGTTATGCTACCTGAAAGTATGGATTCTCAAAACCTTAGTACAGTTTTAGATAGCTCTGTAGATAGCTCTGTGAAGTAGTTTGTGCCAAGAACCTTCGGCGTACGCATCTTTTTAGACATACGCTCTCCATTCTTTCGATCCGCTTCCGTTTCCACGTTTTCTGATTCCGCGCAGACTTCACTTCTTCCTTTCCTCATTCTTGTATCTAAACTATCTCAACATCGTTAGCTTCTCGTTTCCGGTTCCGGTAGTAGGCCCCAGTCTGGACGCAAATAACTCGCGCCAAAACGACATCACTTCATGCGATTTTCTACAAGGGAAACAAGTCGAGCTCCCGGTTTCTCGCTCACTTTGTCACCGAAAACATAAATTTCTAGCTCAAGCTTTGCGCTCGAGAAAAATTTTGAGCCCGACGTTTGGGGAAGTCTAAGTTGTATCCTACCATAGGGAGAGGGATAGACGAAAAAGGTCAATTTTCAAAAAGATAGACGGCCATCTTTAAAACGTAACGTAGGTTTTAAATTATTTTAAGAAAAAAAACTTTATTTACAGTCTTATTCGCTCTTCTGATCCGCGACGTACACTCACTGCATTTGTGATATAAGTGTTCATTTTATCTGCATATTGAAGACATATAGAAAAGTCATGTAAAGAGGCCAATTTAAAAACCAGACATCTACAACTTTTGAGGTACAGTAAATGTTTTCTTACAAACCCAGTGACGTTTTTTTATGAAACGGAGAGGTGATGTAGCTTAAAGACGTTAGTTCTCAAAGTATAACTTCCTTTCCGCTCTGTAAAGCAGGGGGAGTTTGCGACAGAAGTGTCTTTCACAAACAAAACTTTACCAAGTCGTTCACCTCTTTTCAGTGGGTAAGCTAAAACCTAAAGAATTTTATTGAATTAAATCATAAGTGGTAGGCCCTACCCCAGCGGTTTATAGTGTGGTTCAAACTTTGAAAGTTCAGCTAGTGACTTGGAGCAATTACATAACTTAAGGAGAGACTATAGGATCTTCTTCTAGATTTCTTCTCTAGTCTTCTTTTTTTTTGATCTGTAATTTTCATTGTTGAATTCTTGTGTTCATTGGTAAAATGCGAAAAAAGAAAACGGATTCGTTCGTTATTGTATATTATTTACCACAGAAAGCTCTACAATATAAGTGAACAGTAGCATTGGAATTGCGGTCTCACCATTTCTCTAATACTCTCCTTGAAAACCCAAAAAAGGAATTCGCGTAGCTTTTATGTCAATTTCAATCTTTAGAAGACATCTTAAACAACATCGACTGCTATTTGAGCTATTAGTATCTCCACTGAAAAGTTGCATTCAGTTGCTTAGAAGAAAGAGTAGAAAGTAGAAACAATATCATCGTTAATACGACGGTTGATATATTTTTTTAATTTTTGTTTATTTTTTTTTCACACCGCAGAACTTTCCAACTTTCGTATCCCTCGAATTTCCGCACGCTTTAACATGCTTACACGAAAAATAAAAGGATCGTCCCGGCCTAAACCCGATAAGGGCGCCCCTAGCTCTTCTTTCTTTACAGTCTAAAATAATAAAGATATCACAAGAAAACCTCACTCTTTTCCCGCACGCATATTCTTTGAAACATCATAACCATCATTGTCACTCAATAGAGGATCGGAGACGAGCTTGTTCTACGTTAACCTGCTTTAACTGAATGAACAGTCCTGTTGTTGTCGGGCGGTGGAGACGAGTTGTCACACTAACAGAAAATCTGTGGTAATTAAGTGGAAGGGCCAAGTCAGTTTATGGTTTAACCTCAGTTTTCACTTGTCACGGAATTTTTAACATGACGATTTAGGCAATTTGTTTCCTCCCATTTTTGAAAAGAATGTTAAATAAGCGCTTATTTGAGGAAAGACGGTGAAATGAATGACTTGTGCGGTAAAAATTTCCTTATCAAAAGAGCAGTCAACAGCTGAAAAATAAGCAAATACTAATCGTTTAATATGCAGCATAGATATTTCCGTGAATCCTTACAAGGACTGATAAAATTTTCAACTATGTTAAGCCTATATGAGATTTTTAAAAGTAAATAACATTCAACGTTTGTATCTCTCAGTTCTTATGAGACTTGCACTGTTGTTTCCAGGTTCTCCTTCTCGCTTATAGAGAAAATTATAGACATGTTTGAAATTCTTTATAGTTAAAGGTATTCTTCCTTGTCAATCCCTTCTGCCGCTGTTCTGTCTTGTTAGCTATCACTCTTTACATCATTTTCTCTTTGTTTAAATTCTCTTGCAAATGCTTGACTCTTCCAAAGCTGTAAAGACAAAATGTCATTAGTCAACGACTTTCTCATCTTGCTGTAGGTAATTCTAAACCCCTCGCTGGCTTGCGTCGTTGGTACCTTGTGCAAAGTACTAGTGCCTTAGCCTACTAAAACAGCTAAAATTGATTTTACTTTCGAACGTTCCCATTACGGACGCACTACCTGTATCTGTAATGAGTTCGAATACCTCTCTATGAAGGAGTGTTGATGAGATCCAAAAGATAGCAAACTTCATGCAATTCCTTTCTGCTTGAATTCCGTCGGGTTCAGCGTATTTAGTCAGATTTAGTAAAGACAATGCTTATCAAATACTAAAACGAAAAAACGCGCGGAAAGGACTGAATGCGACTCCCGGTGCTCAGTTTGCAGGTCTGCCATTGGTCAAACCGGACAGTTTTCTTTTTCTTTTTCTGTCTTTGTTTTCTCTGCCTGTTCAACAGACAACTTGCACGTTGTGATTGGCTTAGAGACACTAACAGTTCAACGGAAGTAAAAGGGTATTTACTTTGTTTTTGCTCACCTACCTTTAAATTTTCAGGTAGGAAAGCCCTAGTTATACGTCTCAATTTGTCGGATTTGCCAAACAGAAAAATCGGCAATATAAAAAATAAATGGTGCACTGGTCGATTTGAAATAGACGTAACTAACGAGCCGGATTTGGACGAAAACCTGGCCTTTCCGGTGGACCAAAAGGACTGCTTGATAACTGAAAATATAAGATGTGACATGTGCGAATTAGCCGTTAAGCTGGCCGACACTCGTACCGACAAATCTTCAGCCGAAAGTCTTCCCTTAAGATTTGACAAAGCGGTGTCATATTTTCTTTGATATTTACTTTCGGAAAAATTATTTTTATTTCCTTTCGTGAAGTCTTCCATTCTTTAAAATCGTCTCCGCAAATTCATAAAGTATATGTCATTTCCCAAAATGCCCAATTTCCCAAGGCAAAATAAGTTGATTGATTCGGTTTATCATCGTTTCAAAACAAACATTTACATTAATTAGAGCATAAAAAATTGAAAACACAACACGTGTTGGCAACAGGTGAACACCACGCCAAGAGTTTATATAAATGAGTTTCAAAACGATGAACGAATTTTTTTCTGGTCAAACCACTCGTGTTATGTCTAGTTTTTGTAGTATCTCTTTATGAGAGTTAAAGTGTGAGAGATATGACTTTGTTCTCGATTTACCAGTTGCTTAACAAATGTTGAGAAAAATCATATTAATTTTATAACCAGATCGCCTGTTGCCGTCCATTTCCATTGTTCTCTCGAGTAACTCTTTTACCTGTTATTTCTTCGCAAAAAAGCTCAATGTGGATTAGACCCAGATTTTACACTAAAGCATATTTTATTTAATGTCTTAGAAGATAGAATCTACAAAAAACCTTTTGATTAAATAATAGCACCGATATTTTTTCTTTTATTTCTTTTGATTATTTCCCACCATGAACGTCACGGTGTTCAGCTCAGTTACCTGTCCGTGTAACATTTTCCCACCACATCACACACCAGAAAAGTATAAGAAATAGGTCTCACTTCCATACAACTACACTGACTTGTTTTTATCGTTTGTCTACCTACCTCGTTATTTAGAAAGGGCTTTTCTCGTTTGCCTGAGTACCATGGTCTGTGCCTCAACATTGTAGATAGTCCTTTGTGTTTAAACTCTTTAAATGGTATCTTTCCTATATTTCCAGTTGCTGCTAGTGTACCCAATAACAGATTTAAGAACATAAGCACGATAATCGTGACATATTTAAGCAATCTGTGCATTTTCACGGTATTTTCTAATTTGATTATCTGAATTAACAGCGTCTTTAGTTTCGATCGATTTTGTTAAGACAAAGACTCGTACATTATTTAGACTGCTTTATAACTTTGATCTATCTGTTTTGTAACATCCGGCCTAATTTGTCAACCTGATTTAGCTGTCGATCATTTATACGCCTAGACTCGAAGTTATAAAAAATAACCGCCAAAATCGATACCTTTTAAGGCTATTACTTTACTCAAACTTTGTAAACTGTTTTACAAATTTGTGGATGCTTCTAAAAATATCCTGATAGATAAGTCGGAATTATGCAAAAGTTATTGGAATAGATATCGTCGTTATTCTTTCTTTCCGATTTATCATTGTGTCTAATTTTTTCGAGATGAATAGATCTATTTCTTTAACAGCCCGGAAGAAATTAAAGATACTTATGAGACACTTTTAATTATGAAGGCGAAGAGGTGAGTTTTAGCGTGGGGTTTAATTTCATGTTTAAGCGTTCTTCTTTGTGTTTTGCGTATTGTTTTGTCTTTTTTGAAGCTATAGTTGGTGAACAGCTGCTCTTTTCATCCCTCGTGAAAAAAAAAAAAAAAGAAAATCTAAGGAGGGGAGGGTGCAGCCCACTTAAGTGGTCTCTCAAATGCGTCATATAGGAACTTCTATAGGGGATAGAAGATGATCCAAACAAACAGACGCAGATTGAGCCTGGTTTCCATGTTCCAAGTCATCCGGCTTGTCTCTACCCTCTTAAGTCGTCTCCAATTGTGTTCAGAGAGGGACAATTGAAGCGACAACAATGGCTTGGATAGAACTCCATGAAATCTAATAGGCCGGTATCTCGCACAGTAATCGATTCCAATCAATCCAATCAATTAGGTGAATTAATCAATTTTAGAGACCTGTGCCCAGTTGTTCGAACACCGGTTAGCACTAACCCAGGGTTAAATTTTAACCCGGGTTTCTTTTTCTTTTTATCAAAAGCGCTCTCTCCGGATAATTTTCTCTATTCTTTTTAGAGTATCCAATCATCAAATTGTAGGCAAAGAGAGTTAAACTGAATTTGCTTTTTAAGCTCTCATATCTGAGTTCAAATTTCGCACAAACCCTGGGTTATCTTAACCCAGCTTCGAACAACCCGGCCCTGAAGGTAAAACACTTAAGTATATCAAATATGTATGACTTCAGTGTCACAGAAGGGCTATGTCATGGTGACGTCCACATTTTTTGGTCAAAGCTGAGCTAAAATTACCTTTTAATATTCTCGCTCATCTTTAATTTTGTGAAAATTGAAACTTTGAAAGTAAGATACTGAATAACTTTAAATGATTATGTTTTAGGAAAAACAAGGTATGAACGTTTTCTTTTTCAAAAAGATAGAGGGTTAACGTAAAACTATCAAGTTTGTATCCGTTTCCTTCCTAGCCATCGAACGCTACTGAAGAGTATTTTTCTCTGAAACATTATTTCAGGGTTTTCTTTATTTCCGATTGTTCTGATTTTACTAGATGCGGGATTCCGCAAATGTTGTTTTAATGATAACGAAGAATTGAACTGCATTTTCTGAAATGTTCAAAAAAATAATAATAACTGTTTATGTAAAGTCAACACACCTTTCCCGCTCTTCCATCGACCTCGTCACGTGCCTATTTCAAATGTTCCGCTTCATGCCCCCAATACCTCACCCCCATGGCTCCTGCCAACTATCAGCTGACTACTGCCACTGCTTTCCGAAAAAAAAGGGAATCTGGAGCCTCTTTAAGGCGCCTTGAAAGCGTATGTTTGGGATAGGGATTAGCCTATAAAAACTGTGAACTGAATATTGGTCGACATAACGGGTTTCAAGAGCCTTATAAAGGACCCTCAAAGTTCTTAGGTTGACTGCAGGTAACTTTCATTTTAATATGCAACATTTTCCGCATGATTTTGTAATTCCCGCGCACAAATTTATTTGGTTGAGAAAAAATGTGAAAGGCAGCAAAGATAACACAAAATAAACTACGTGGAAACGGTCATTTCAATTCAATTTTCAGGGACTGACAGTTTAATTTTGGGAAAATCTGACGGGAAGTGTACGTCCTTTGCTCTCAACAGTATTACCTGAGCGGCGTATATCATCGCTTTGTTGTCAATAGGGTCAGTGTTTAATTTCCGAGTGGATTTCTTTTGAAATTAGGCGGAAGTGAAAGCGATTTCATTTTAGTTACAGAAAATATAATGGGAAAATGATCGGATATTTAGGTTTACACGGGAAGTAAGCCAGGAGTGTTCACCCTTATTTATAGAATTTTTGCTTCGGTAGTTTGAACTGTCTTTTGAAAAAAAAAATAATAATAACATATTTTGCGTAGCTCGCAGACTTCCAAATTTTACTGCCGGTCGGATTTTTGATGTTAATATATATTGTTACTTTGTGCTCGTTGTCTATATAGGTTTATACCTAGTGTTAAAATAATTTTAGTAAGGTGCCATGAATAGGTATAACTACTGACTGGATTTACCTAGTCTTAATATTTCAAGCAGTTACCTTATGAAATTAATATAAAGAAAGATGAAAACTAGCATTCTCACTGTGTTAATCAAGGTAATTCAGAGTAACAAAGGAAAAGATACGACTGATATGCTATGGAAAAACTGAAGAAAATGACTAAAAGTAAGCCACAGTTATCGCTCGCTTATTCGTGATTATCTTGAAACAAAATAGTCGAACTTCAATCAAACGAAGCAAAAATACATCTACACAAAAGCTGAAACCTAATTGGGAAATGTCTCAACGGAGGACACTGAATAAGTATGGAAGAAAATAATTTTCACAGAAAATAATGTTGTGTCTTAATATCATCAAATGGAAGCCTTCTGACAGCCACCTTGTAATGGATCAAAAGAACTATCTACAAAGTTTCCCAATACAGTGATAAAAAACATTAAAAGTAACAGTAAAAGTTCCCCAAAAGTGACGGTTGTTTCTGAATCTGATTGTCGAACGTTCTTAAAAAACTGGGCGATATGTGGTAAATATTTTGTCGTCATAGAAATCCAATCTAAAGAGAAAGCCTTATTCTTGTCCTTCTAGGGACATTTCAGACAAATAAAATTAACAGAGGTGTGGCCACATGTACAGTTGACAATAATCACAGGTGCTATTCTATTCAAACGCGGAGACGTTAACGTAACGTAGCAGATATTCGCAGACGTCGGGTTTCACGTTTCCAGAAAGGTGTACAAAAAAGAGAAAAAGCATGTGCAGACCACAAGAGAGTTGCCGTGACCCGTGCGTTTGAACAATTCTAGAAAGATAAACAGGTCGCTATGATCACGTTTTTACAGAAAGAAGCTGAGCGTGTTTCGCCTATTCTTTTGCTATTAGATGCAGTGAGTAAAAACCGTCAAAATGTGGCGTCACATTGGCGCCGTCGACTTTGAAAATCAACAAAAAGATTCTTATAAACCCTATTCAACTGACAAAAAGTCCTTTCTTCCGACAAGACCAGCACAATACCTGTTAATGGAAGACGCCGTCGAAAGGGCTTGAGGCTGACATGGCCTTCCTAACGACATTGTTATAAAGTCCTTTCACCACGATTAATTGCACCGGAAAGAGCACTAATAAATTAGTATAATTGTGTGTTATTGATAAGAAAACGTTTTGAACACGCGATTTGTCTCCCCAAAAATTATTTATTACAGTTAAAGGTCATAAGTTTGGTTTTAATCGACAAAAATATTTAATTTTCTCCCTGCGAGATTTTTTAAGTGTCAAAGTTTTTTATAAACAAAACTGCACGAACTGTTTAATAGATTGCCTGAATTAATAGCCAATCAGATTGGTTTTAGTCCTTGGTAACGCCGGTGCAGAAACGGAACCGGTGCTTTCTTTGGTGGTCACTTTTATTGTAATTAATTTTATTTAGCGAATCTTTCTGATAAAAAGA